GCATCTATTGCATAGCAAAAAATATTACAACCATAAGCCTTAACATAGAATTAGATGGAGCAGCTGATATTTATTCAGAACTTTTATATTGAAATTTCTTCAATGGATTTTTGCGAATATAAATCAAGTGTCCTTCTATAATGGGGGTGACATATCTCGAGCTTGCGGTTAAGTCAAATCCTACAATAAAACGGTTAGGGAATTAGTGAAAATTATAAAAAATGAAGGATAAAATGAGGAAATCATAAATATATATTCCAATGTCTATAAATGTTTACTTCAAACTCTTACCTATACACCAAATGTTTAGATAGCCTGCCTGAATCTAATACATCTAAGAACGGGCGCATATCGTATCAAACTAACTGAATAATTAGTTTATTTGGTAAATAAGAAGTTATCGAGTCACGCAACCGATATAGATTCAGCAGCTCCGCCATGCCAGGACTTGGTCCATCCAAGAACAGGCATTTCGGATTGTCCTCAACGTAAACATTTGTGCGAAAACCCTATCTACCGCCAACTAATGGCTGAGCAGTGCTCGTTGACGTGCAATAAATGTAATCCTACACCTACACCGGCAGGACCAGCGCCATGTAAGTTAATAGTAGAAAAATTGGATTGAACAGTAGTCTCAACAGCATCGATAGTATTCTATTTACGTTTATGAGCAGAAGAAAGATTTGTAAATGTTTGTGTGATGTTTTCGGCCCTTAACAGATATAATAATCTATCGCGAGGGTAGCACCATGAAGTAGGTAAAGTAAAAGAAACATAATTTGAGGGTACTACCATGAAGTGGGTGAAATAGAAGCAACCTATAATTCACATCATTTGGATTTTGTTCTACATATAATTCAAAAATTCCTACGACCGGTTACTAGGTCAAAAAATAGGATGTTGTTGTGAACGATGGAAAGCATGAATCAAATGCTTAGATTTAAAAACTTAGTCTAAGAGCTTTAGTCTTGATAAAAGTGGAATTGTACACTACTCTAGGTTAAAACAAGTGAATAGAGAAGGTTGTGCGCAGAGCTTAAACTTTGCTCGGGCATACATAATTTTCGTGCTGTTCTCATTATCCTTAGAGGAGGAAGGTAACATTAAAATCTAATTTGTGCGTTCATACTAGAAAATAAACTGTTGCATTCTCCTTACAGCAAGTGAGCCATAGGTAGGCATCTTCCTCTTGATCAAAGATATTAAAGAAAAAAAGAGAAATCTATCAATG